GCAAACTAAATAATTAATGCAAATTAACAATATCATAAAGAAATATTAAAAAAAAAAAAAAAACATAGAACATAAACAAGCTAAATAATCACTAAAAGTTAACCCTCCTGGCATGTCAAATAACTAAAACATCTATCAGTTTACGCTTCACTGCATGCACGCGGCAATTAAATATATCTATGTCAAAATCATTGTCGCTCAACACACCGTTCAAACTCTTAATAGCCCTACAAATAAAACTATTTAGCCTATAATTCGTTCTAGCAAAGGGAAGTGCAATAGGGCAATACTTCCTCGTCAGACGCGAAGGTACCTTAAAAGAAATACGACTCAACAATTCAGAACAGTCAATATCACCATTAATAATTTTCAAAATAAAAACAATATCAGCGATTTTCCGGCGAGTAACAAGCGACAATAGGCGCCTATCATTACAAAGCTGAAAATAATTCGAAGAGTTATATGGTAGGCCCATTTTATAACTTAGGAATTTAATAAATTTTTTTTGGACTAGCTCTAATCTATCCACATAACATTGATATCCCGGATTCCAAATCTGGGAGGCAAATTCAAGCTTACTGCGAACATATGCACAGTATAGTGTTTGAAAAGTTATGGGCCTGGAAAAACAGAAAGAGTTACGCATTACAAAACCAAGTGACTTAGTGGCCTGTGAGATAATTGCATCAATATGAGCATCAAAAATGAGCTTTGAGTCATGAATAACACCTAGATCTCTCATGCTAGTCTTGCGTTGAAGAATAGAATTTTTTAGGCTATATGAAGTAAGTATATTATTATATTTACGGGAGAAGGTAACTGAGAAACATTTAGAGGGATTGAGGTCTAAGTTATTAATAATACAATAGTCACCAAGACGAGACAAATCAGACTGGAGAGCATTAGCGTCATCAACAGATGATATCTTGGCATAAATTTTCATGTCATCAGCAAAACTTAGTAAATTAGAATAGCGGAAACAATCACAAATATCGTTAATAAATATATTAAAAAGGAGTGGCCCTAATAAAGACCCTTGAGGGACTCCACTGGGTATTGAAACCCAACTCGATATGTAATTATTTACGACTACTGCTTGAGACCTGTTATCTATGTATGAGGAAAACCATCTGAGAAGATCACCTCTGATGCCAATTTTAGAGAGTTTAGTGAGAAGGATATTATGATCAATCTTATCAAAAGCCTTGCTATAGTCAGTATAGATGACATCAACTTGGTAACCACTGTCCATAGATTCCGAAACAAATTCATTCAATAATACAAGATTGGATAAAGTTGATCTACGACGAAGGAAACCATGCTGGGTAGGACTAAAAGAGTTCTTTAATGCTAAGTAAACTTGATCATAAACAATCCTTTCCAACACTTTAGACAAAATACATAATTTAGAAATGGGTCTATAGTTAGTTATATCAGATTTAGAGCCTTTCTTGAAAACAGGGGTGACAAACGCGCATTTCCATACTGTTGGTACGTAACATTCTGTAAAAGAACGTTCAAATATTAATGAGACTGGCTTAGCAATGCAGGTAGCACAATTGATTAGGAAGAGCGCAGGTAAGTGATCTGGACCCGCCGACTTACTAGGGTCAAGTCTGCGTAACAAATTAGTAAGATGTTTAATATCAACTGTGATCGTGGCAATATCAGAGGTAGAATGGTAATCAGTTTTCACTGAATTAAAACTACTAGGTGACGTAGCACTCAAAAAAGATTTTTTAAAATAGTCAGAGAAGGCATTGCAAACATCTATGCCAGTATTAATCATAATATCTCCATAGCGCAGACTGCTAGGCACACCATGAGAGGCAGAACGAGATTTAATGAACGACCAAAACAATTTAGGATGTTTTTGAATGTTAATCTCAATTGACTTAGTATAATGCAAGAAACACTGATTTTCCAAAGACTTCACCCGATCTCTTTGAAATTGATACGACACCAAGTCACACCTATTACCATACAATTTATATTTCCGGTGATATTTAAATTTCTCCTTAATAGCCTTCTTTAACGAGGACGTGTACCAAATAGGAAAAGTACCCGGAATAACAACTTTATTAGGTACATATTGATCCCTAAATTCACGAAACTTAGTATAAAAGAATTCAACGCACTGATCCAATGTACGCGATGAAAATTCATTGTCCCAGTTAATTTTCATTGATTCAGCGTTAATTAGATCGTAGTTGGCCTTATTATAAAAATATTTTATATATGAGGCTGACTTTAAAGGAGTAAATGGGATAAATTGCAAAGAAATAATCAGAGCCTTATGGTAAGGATCAAGCGGTACAAGCGGCTCCATACATTCCGAAACTGATACTGTATCGTCACATAGTACAAGATCCAAGATCTTGTCATACTTATTGACTATACCGTTATATTGATTAAGATTAAGCAGACTTAATTCATCCACTAACATACACTGATCATGAGTAGAATAATTGTAGGGTATATATAAATTATGACTTAATCTCCAATGAATATCACTTAAATTAAAATCACCCACAATCAAGAACTTATCATTAATGTTGCTAAGCCTAACCTCACTTAGTTTATCCAAGAAGTTCTGTAACTGTAAAGAGAACGATTTCAAGGTTATGTTACCACTTTTTTGTTCACACAGATACAAAACACAAAGGTGTAAAGTGATAATTTGATCACTAGGAGTTTTCAAAGATAACGCAAGCCACAAATCTTCCGCTGAAGATTGATAAGTGAGTTGAGGAATAACGGCCAACTCCTTGCGGGTAGCAATAAGCACTCCACCTCCTAGGGCTTGCCCTGTCAATGAATAATCACGATCTCGCCGCCAAACCACATACCTACCATCGAATAACTCCGAGTCCGCAATCCCATCCAATAACCATGTCTCAGTAAGTATAATAATATCATATGACTTCGTAAGTAAATTGCAATAAAAAACTAAGGTTTTTGTGCGAAGCCCCCTAACGTTTTGATAATAAACGGTAGGAAAATGTGAATTATTCGTAGTAATAGCCATTTATAAGTAAATTAACGAAACAGTCTAATAAATTCATTAAATAATAAAACGAATCGAACGTAATAGCCATTATTAGAAAGAGAAAGAAACAGTGGGTCAAGCAATGCCATATATAGACCATAGCAGGTAAGAAAGAGATGGATAGATGTTGCACATAATACACGCAAGCGCATACAACAGTTCTAGCAAAAAATGACAAACAATAGCGCGAGCCGGACAGAGCAAAGGTACTCAAACTTTTAGCAATGTAACACAAGTGAAGGTAAATATAATTTTTAAAATATTTCAGGTAAATTACAAAAGAATGCAGTAATTGAATGCAAGTACAAATAGTGATTATGAACGTAAACATTTTAAAATATAATATTGGCAAGTAACACTCTATTGCAACTTGTTTAAATCCGTATGACCATTGACTATAAGAATTTTCGAGGTATCATTCTTACGCACGTGAATTTTACCATACTTCACCCAGATGTACTGGTATCCTTTGGCTTTCAGCGTAGTCTTAACAGAAGTCAACAAACGTTTATACTCCGGGGTCAGATGGTCATTCAAAAAGATCGACTGAGTACTGTCACTGAATCCGATGTCACTCGCCGAAAGCTTCTTCTTAGAACGGGCAGATGCAATAAAGTCTTCTTTAACATAGCGATTAGTGAAGCTAACTATGATGAGCTTATCTTTGGAATTCTGCATCGGGGCTCTAGAAATATAATTGATGCTTGATTTCTGGATCGGGTAGTCGACGGCTTTTGATATGTGGTCTACGACGGTGAACAAGTTTTCGTTTTTCTTCAGCGGGACTCCCTTGATCTCAATATTATTCAGACGCTGCCATTGATCCCTACCATTAAGCTCACTTCTTAGTACAGTGACTTCATTATTCAAAGTATGAATATTTTCTTGCAATGCAGCTATTTTCGGCAACTCATTCTCCACAGACTGCAGCCTCGCATTATGGTCATCCAAAATGGAACTGTTGAACTCACATGACTTCTTGAGTTCCTCAATCTCACTCTCGATTGATTTGACGTCTTGCATGAGAACCGGCAGACTGGCTAGGTGGTTTTTCATGGACCGTAACTCAAGCATTATAGCATCCAATGTTACTGTGTCAGAAGTAGGTAAGGGAGAAGTGGCCTCCGCTCGGCACGAGGAGCACCTCCATATCGATCTGCGCTCAGCTCCAAGCCTTCGATAGCCCTGCTCAGAAACACCCGCACAACAAAATCCAAGTACCCTATTGCAACAACTACATTGAGCAGTGTCGTTGACAACAGCATTACAGCGAGCACAATGCATGATGATCACTTTATATTTTTAAAATAATTAATAAAAGTTTGAGAATCTCTAGCGCTAAGGCACACTGCGAATGGGTACAAACGATGTTGCTCGTAAGCGAGTTCGAGCGATACTGATTTATTTATTTTATAGATAAGGTACATCACCAATAGTTTATTATACTCTTAGATTACAGTGAAACTTCACATTAGTATATAGTGTACTATGTAAAAATAGAAGGTCAGATAATATGCACGATGTCTAAGCGTATTCATTTTGAAGTACGATCTCTGAACGTATTTACCCGCTCACGCACCTAGAGGTGATGATTTTATACCGATTTATCGGATATCGAAGTTATAACAGGTAAAAGAACTAATATTAATTGCTATTTCGGTAACTACTCTAGCAAACCAAAAAATTTTTAATGCCTGAGTCTGTCATTTAAAAAAATAAACAACTTCAAAAATACGTCACGACAATCGTGTGTGTTATTGTTTAGGCTGGTGATTTCGGTGTTTATTTATTGAAAACATACCGTAAGTAGCGTTTTTTAAGTTTACCCTGAATATAAATGTTTATAAACCATACTTTAAGGAGTAATTTCATGGTAAACGTTAGAACCACTCAAACGGAATATTATATTTATCCAAGTACACCAAAAATTTCATTAGTGCTTTTTAAGTGCAGGATTTACGGTGTGTTACTGCATTTTATTTGAGATGTTTTTGTTGGTAGTACGGAGGGTATTTATTTAGCAATGCAGAATAATAATTTTTATTTATTTAAACTTGTATTTAAACTGAATGCTTTTCTAATTTGCGAAACCAAATAGCCGCCATTTTGCGGTAGGAGAAGCGCATCGCGTGAGCGGGTATGTCTATGTGATATACCCGGAGACAAAAATCTAACTGTCTGAATACTTAAAATCTTTGTGAGGGAGCACAGTAGACAGGGTTCCACACTACACTGGCAAATTCCAAATCGTCAGCAAGGAGTAGCATTACTATGTTTTATTACCGTAGTTATATCATTAATGAACGTTACAAAAAGAGTTGGTCCAAGATGAGATCCTGGAGGCACACCTAATTTAGCAAAAAAGTGTATGTTTCTTAGCCATTTACTGCCACAAGTTAGGTATTTTTAAAAGATATGTCTTAAACCATAATAACAGGCAGCCTTCAATACCAAAAGGTTTGATTGTCATAAGTAAACGGGCATGATCAACTTTGTCGAAATCACTGGAAAAATCAATATAGACTGTGTCTACCTGAAGGCCCTTTATCAACCTCCTGAGACACGTATAAAACAAATAGTACTAGGTTACTTTCGACCGACCAGTCCTAAATCAATGCTGAAGATCTGAGATATCGTGACTGGCCAAATTATAAATGAATCAGTATACGAGTGACTCAAAAGTTTTAAAAAACATGATAAAATTGATACTGGACGATAATTCTTTAAATCGATTGATCGTTTTTGGTATATTGGAACTATCCTAGATTTTTTTCATTCTTCCGGAAAGATTCCAATGTTCAGTGAATAGTCAAAGATGATTGTTAGTGGCAAAGATAGACAGGAAGCACAACGTTTAATGAAGAGTGGAGGGGTATTGTCCGGCTCCTTTATGAACGTTAATTTACACTGATATCTGTATTTATTTACACTGGCACATGCACATTTTTTTGTATTATTATACTAGACTAGTAACATTAGCACTATTTAATTTAATATTTTTTTAATCAAAATTACAACACCAATTTGATGATGATTTTTAAACAGATGTTTATCGAACATACAGCTATTGTTAGCATAATCAAATGATTAAGGTCATTTGAACTAGCTCAAATCGGATAACAAAGGATCAGAGCGGTTTTAAAGCGAAATTATATAATACGAATATAAAAGACATTTATTGATAAATAATAACTTTTTTATAAAAACAAACCCGACGTCAAAAGTTCGTGGAATTACATATTTTTGCCAAGTTTTATTGAAAACGGTACTGGACAGTGCGCGAAACCGGATTCCTTAGAGGTGAAATGATTTCTTTAGAATTAAATGAGACTAACACTGAGGTACCCTCTTTCCAACAAAAAAAGAATCATCATCATCGGTTCACAAAACGGCCGGAGTAAACACGTAACATACACAAAAAAAATAGTCGAATTGAAAACTTCCTTTTTTTTTTAATTCGGTACTTTTAAAATTTTCAAGATTTGTAAAAATCGTATGGGGTCTAGAATTGTTAATCATGCTCAACTACATTTGCCGTGAGGAAATTTGATTTGTTTGTAGGTCAATGGCTTAGACCTAAGGGCGCTAATAATATCATGATTCTAGTAGCTGTCTGAAGAACATCGACTTCGAGATTCTAAAACCGAGGTTGCGGTGATTTTGTCTACCCGAAGTGCTGGCAGGAGACAATAGAATATTGAGATAAGTATAAGAGCTGTGAAGAAGGCTCTTGGTCCCTTTAAGAGGTTAGTTAAAACATTTCCAATGAAAAAATAAGAAAAAAGGTTTGGAAATTTATTTATTAGACACACCAACTGTGACAACGGTGCATGTGAACGGTGAGTTCTTAGGTTTTCGGGATTGTTACACTTAAGAAGTGAAACTATTTTTCCGGATTTAAATCGCGTAAGTAAATTAGTATTAGTTAGTAAATTAGTGTAAATAAAATAAAAACAGGCGGAGAAAATTTGACATAGTTCCGACGTTGACAAGTGCCCGATGGCGACTGACGGGGCAGCGGGTGTTGCGGAGTTTTGTTAAACCGCTAGGCAGTTTTGAAGTTGTGGGATAAATGTGAATGTAATAACTACAAGCCTTCAGTTGAATACCAAAATTTAGCTGGTTGTCCTTAGTACTTAAAGAGAAATATTTCCATATTAAAATGATGTTCAAAGTTAGATATATTCTTAAATAATTTGTTTTAGACTTTTTTAGCCTGTTTTCGGGATTTTATATGATCGGGTAAAGTACATACTATCGTGTAACGAATTAACATATTATTTAGACAACATCCTTACGTGTATTGTGTGTTTTTTATAAGACCGTTACCTGTTTAATAGTAAATACTCAAACCAATTGATATAACAAAACAGTTTTTGCCGCTTCTCCTTCTTCCGTGACTCGTCTTAAATAATACCTAAACAATGTTATGCGCCCGAACCAAGAAAATTAAGAATTTTGTTTTTGAAACCTAACAGTGAGTCAACGAAAATATCCGCGAATCGGAAGCTCTCATTACATAAACTAGACATACGGGCAACGGTGGTGTTGGAACCCAATACTGTTCAACGTCGAGGCGGTAGTAGATTATTTATTATAGTTAATAGTCTGTGCTAATTTATTCCATTAAATGATCTGGTACACCACCGTGAGAACGTAGCTCCTGCCAGTGAGATTCTGGCTGAAAATCAGTGCTATATAAACCGTATCTGGAACTGTATCGAGGGTACTGAGTTCAAAATCCTCAACACACATTTATAACCATAGTCAGAGTAGGTATTTTGTTTTAGTTTTTTTTTTGTTAATTTGGGTCAACAAAAAGTACTCACAATTAAAACTTATAACTAATTTTTTTTACAATAAATATGTAATTATTGTGTCACCAACACCGTTAACCAGTAATTACTACAAAAAAACTGAGAAGTGATGATGCATTTCTATTAAACTACTGAAGAATAAATAATTCAAAAATAGTTATGTAGATACAATACAAACCAATGAAATTTTGATACAATAATAATAATAATAATTACTACATAAACACACATGGGTTATACACACAACAAGTTATATTGTATTTAGTTACTATTTATATGTAACTTTTCTCATGTATGTTTTGTGGTTTTTTTTTTTGCGACCAATAAATGGAATTTGAATATGAAATTATTTATTTATTTCATACTAATCATGAAGTGGATTTCTTACAGATCGTTCGATCGTTGTATTAGTAATTATAACAAACAAGTGAGGTAATTTCACAAAAATAATGAATATCATGGTGGTCACACATCGTGATATTCAATGAAAAACTTAAAAAAGAAATGAAGTAGATTATTTATTCATTACAAAATTTTCCCAATTGAATAATGTTAAAAGTCACTGAAAAAATGTGCAAAGTCAGTTTGTCGAATTCCAACAATGAGCATGCAAATACTTCGCGTCGTTCTCTGCAGAAACGCTATTAATTATTCTTATAGCCCTTGTGAAAGGAGCAAAATTTTAAGATATTTGTACTTGTATAATGTACTTCTAACTTAAGTTACACACAAGCTGTAACTTAAGTGACAAGCTGTAACTAGTGATAAACGACACATAAGTCGTCTGCATCATTATCATCAACCCATTTATACGTACAACTGCTGCGCATGGATCTCTTCTCAAGCAAGGGTTTAGGTCTTAGTCAGCCACGCTGGCCCAATGCGGGTTAGCGACTTCTTTAAGAGCGAAAACCTCATGGTAAATTTCAAAATTAATTTCGCACATATATAAAATAATAATAGTTTTTATCATAGTATTACGTATGTTAGTTTATAAGGTATGTGTTTTATGGGTCTTTTGTAACCTGAAAATAAATAAATAAATAAAAATTATAAATAAATCCCAAAAAATTCACAGGTGCATGGCGTTTGCTTGAGAGGCAGTGGGTCTATCCATTAGGCTACCACGGCTTTTTGATTTGGTGTTTACATGGATATCGGTAGATTTTTTTTATAATATCACGTGACAGGACGAACAAGTCGTGCGCCTGAAAAGCTACACGCCTGTCCATAACAATTGCAGTGCCACTCAGAGCT